CACCCCCTCCACACCATCCAATGTGAATTAAATCACAGAGCAACCGGTTCCTTTTTCCCTGTGTAAGTGTGTGTTCCGGGCTGGCTGCATCTCATCTCTGCTCACATCCCTCTGGGAAAACCTGGACCACAACGCTCGGATCCTGATGGTAGCCGGTATCTCACACAGGGGGGCTGAGGTGCAACAGTAGGCGGGGAAGGGACCTGGCCTTAGCTGCATCTTTCCCTTAGAACCAATGCCCATCCCCCTTGCCCCTCGGACTAATAATTCTTTCAGAGATGCTGCTCCTGTGTGGATTTCTCTTTCTCCTCTTTGTTCCCCTTCCTCCTTTCTGTCTCTCTCTTTTTTAAACCTTGAGATGGATTTCAGTTGGTGGTGGTTTGGATTGAAGTGTGGAAGCAGCTGTTCCTGGATTTGACTGGACCTTATAGGATAGTTAGACTTACCCTGCCTGCTGCTCTCTAAATTGGCAGCTTGCTAGCTGTGCTGCCTTCTTTGTGACTGTTTCATGAAACTCAGCGAGCTTCTAGTAATTCCTAGAGCCAGGCCCTCTCTGCATACCATGGAAATGCCAATCCTAAGGAGATAGCCTCTAGTGTGGTGTCTGGCAACCTTTCCTGGTCTCCTCCATTCCCCAAGACCTCCACATTGCGTGACTAGAACCTAAAGTCTCCCAAGGTTTGAGCAATCCACCTACTCCTATCTAAGCTGCCCCCTTTCTCTGCTCTCCAGGGACTTGAAGCACTTTTTAAAAATAATTAAAAGTTCTTGTGCTGAATCCTTTCTTGATCATGTAACCCCACGGTGGGAGCATTTCCCACACAAGCTCTGTTCCAATGGGGTCTTGTGCAGGAGATGTTCCTCTTGGGTTGTGCCAGCAATCTTTGGAGGAGGCCTCTGTCAAAAGAGCTGATTGTGGGTGGCAGCTTCCATGGGGCAGCATTCTGTGGAACTAGTTCCCCTCCACTAGCATCTGTTTGCCTTGAAGGATCAGCATTTGCCAAAGCCTTGTGCCCCATATCTGTTCTCTTGTGCTAATGGCATCTGTCAAACATCTCATTGAAACTGAGAGCCTGTGTCTTGGCCATAGTCTACTGTTTAAGGATTTTTTTAATGGGCGTCATCCCTTATTTGGGTGAGTGCATTTCCCTTATTTTCTTTTGCCCTTTTCTCAAGATGTGGCCATGTTGTGCTGCAGCTGGGTTGAAGAGTGTGTAATTGCTATAGCAGCTCTGGTCTATGATCTGATTAGCTGTAAAGATGCTTTTCTAAAATGGGTCCAAACTGCAGGCTAATCAATCCTGGGATGAGTTATATTCCCTGTTGAAATGAGTAGGAGCTGATTTAAATCCATAAAAGTGCAGCATCTCCATGCTGCCTGTTATTCTAGCAGAAGACATGCTCACACTTCTTCCTGATAATGCAAGGTGCTTGTCTCTTTCCTGACTTGGGGCAGGTTCCTACCAGAGACTGTTGTTGAGCCTCTGTGAGATTGGAAGAATCTGGGTGACAATAGCAGGTGTTGGTTCTTCCGAGAGCTGCTACCTGTCACCCACAGTCAGCTCCCTTCCACTCTTCTTAGTGCTCCTGCTCACTTGTTCACCTGTTCAACAGCGCCTGGCTTCCAGAGATGAATAAAGAGATCATTGCTGCTACTTTAATTCTTCTCTGCAAGAACCAGCCAAATGTCCAAAAGAGAGTAGGCATGAGTGGCTGTAGAGTAGAGTAGATAGTGGCTGGCACAAAGCTGTCCATGAGCAACCATAGCCGTTGTCAGCATCAACAGACACTACAGTCACCTGGAGGCTCTTGACCACGTGGAGAGTTCATTATAGGTTCCTGTAGGAAATGGTCCATCATAAAAGAATTCACCTAACATGGGAATCAGCTCTAAAAGCAGATTAATTCAAGGGAAAGGGAGTTTCTAGGTCTTTAACTAGTTTGAGCTATAACATGTGGTATAGACTTTCTTGGCTGGGTCACTCTGTGAGTTATATGATTTGTTCAGCTTGTAATCTGGATATTAGGAGGCCCCTGGGCTCAGTCCCTGTCACCTCCACCTCTGTCTGCCCAGTTTAAAGACAGATCATGTAACAGGTAATAGGAAAGGCCCTTCTATAGCTTGGACTGTGGATTCTTAAAATTTTGAAGTTGGAAAGGGCCTCATGGGCCATGAGTCCAACCCCCTGCTCAGTGCAGGATCTCCAGCTAGAGCATCACCAGCAGGAAGCTGTCCAGCCTCTTTTTGAAAATGTCCAGAGAAGGAGACCTTACCATTGCTCTAGCAACTGGTTCCATTGTCGAGCCTGTCTTACCATCAAGACATTACTTCTGATGTCCAAACAAAATCTACTCTCCTGTAACTTCAAACCATTAGACCTGGTCCTGCCCCATGGGGCAGCAGAAAACTGGCCTAACTCTCCTCTCTCTAACTGCTGCAAGAGTTCCCAAAATACTGAACTCAGTGGACAACTAGCTTGCCCTTGTATGAGGCAGCTTCTTACATTCCTGTGACCTAGAACAGCAGCTGGAGTCAAGGGGGAGAGGGTAAAAAGGTGTGTTATGTGCACAGTAGCCTCTTGCAGTTCCCAACCTGGGCTTAAAACATCAAGGAGGTACCTGCGTCTTGCAAGTACCAGCTCCATCACATTCCTGAGGAAGCTGATCTTCAGCTTTGTTGTGATGTCCTGCACAGAACCTTCTGGGCCAGCAGAGAGAGATCACAAAGCAAGCTGTGTTCCATGTGTTTCCCTTCCCCTGTTTAAAGGCTGGATCTAAGAGGATCCAGCAGGAGATCCTAGTGTTTGAAGTTACAAGCATAAACAGACTGATGTGCGTGAGGCCTCAGAACCAGACTTTTGGGAGAGGCATCATTGTCCCCAGTTAGCTATAGCTAAGGCCTTGTGTGTCTGGTGGGGACTAGGATGGGGCTGGACTTGGTAGCTGACAGTCACATTCCTTCTCAAGGTGGTGGCTCCCCGGGAAGGGGATCACAGACCACTGAGACTGGGAAGGATCCTGGGGGCTCTTATTTCATCGTAATCCTCCTTAGATAATTCCCCTCCCTTTCTTCTCTTGGTTGTGCAATATTCTTTCATTTTTAAATTATACTGCATCTCCCTGGACTGTTTTTGAAGCTGGGGTGAACAAGTGACTCTTAACAGCTGTTAGTTTTGTAATGATGACTTTCTCGAACCTTTTACAGACTTGCCGTTAACAGCGATTAAAGGAGTTCTGCAGAAATGATCTGCTGGTGTGACTCTGTCTTGTCCCCACCCTAGGATGCTGTTGTACAAATACATATACTAGTGTATATACATATGCAGAACTTAGGTTGGAGGATATCATGAGTAGGGAGAGAAAAGAGCTGTGCTGCCTAGTGGAGGGCAGTGTCAGGGATAGAAGAGGAGGAGGTAAGGTAGCAATGGAGTCCCACCTGGCTACCTTGGCTGCTCTTTCCCTTACCTGGTCCTCAGCCACTGCTTGCTTTGTGGTTGCCAGGACTCTAGGTGATGACCCCATCCCATGGGAATGCCACTTGCTGGTAGCCACAGCCATTCCAGGGGCATCTCGCAAGTATGGCCTACAACTCCTGAGTCCTCATAGCCGGTGGAGATAGATTATGAGAGTTGCAGATGAAAAATTTGTTTGCTCACTCCTGGCCTGTTTGTGTTTGGAGTAGGCCATGTGGGCCAGACAGACCAAAGATCTGACTTGGTATAAGTCAGCTTGGTATAATCTAACTTGGTATAAGGCAACATTCTTTTGGAAAGGTGAGGAGAGCAAGGCTTTGAGTTTAGCACCCATTTAAAATAAAATTAAGACATGGCTAGGAAAAGCCTGGCACTTTGATTATGCACAGTCTTTGACATCTTATGGTCTGTTCCTTAAATACAGCTGAGTATGAGATGGAGTACAAGCTTGGCCAGGAGAGACAAACTTTTCTTTTTGGTCTTGTCATTATTTCACAGTGCCTAGCTTTCTGCATGCCAGGCCCACTGTGAACTCCCCAGTCAGTAGAGAATGTGTGAAATGCCCGTGAAATTACTCTTCCTGCCCCAGCCCATGGACACATGGCAAGATGGGGGTAAGGAGAGACCAGAAACGGAGCATCCCGTTAAAATATATGTGAGCATTTTGGAAACAGCCTGTCCCCTTTTTTATTAGGGGAGGGGTTTTGTCATGGTCCTTTTCCCTCAGGAGTTGGCCAGCCACGGGTGCCAACTCACTTCTTCGATGGAAGGCCTGAGGATCATGTCTGGCTCCAACAGGCTTTTGAGGAGGTCTTGGCATTCCTCGGAAATCCCCAAGTGGCCTGGGATAGAGACCCCTTTCTGTTGGTGGCAGAGCATCTTGGGAATGTCTGTGTCGTCGAAGGGCAGGTTGGCGCAGAGCATGACATACAGCACCACGCCCATACTCCAAATGTCCCCCTTCCGGCTGTCGTGGGGCACCCCCTGCAACACTTCAGGGGCAGCGTAGGCTGTGCTTCCACAAAACGTCTGGCTCAGTTCCTTCCGGTTCTTGGGGAGCAGCTTGGCAAAGCCAAAGTCTGTCAGTTTTAGGTTGAAGCCCTGCAGCAGGGCATTCTCGCATTTCAGGTCACGGTGCGCCACCCCACAGCCGTGGCAGTAGCGGATGGCCTCCACCAGCTGGTGAAAGAGGGCTTTGGCACGGCTCTCAGGCAGCGGCCCTCCTTGCAGGACACAGTCAAAGACATCACCATCCTCGGCCAGCTCCATCACCAGGTAGATCTTCCCGTCTGTCGACTCCAGCATCTCGTACACCCGGATGATGTTCTTGTGGTCCAGGCGCTTGACAATCTGGAGTTCCCTGGGCAGGAATCTCTCGATAAACTCTGAGAAGGAGAAGACCAAAGTTAGATGAGATGCTCATTGACTTCTTCCAGAGGCAGGTCATGGCTCTCCTGCTCTCCTGCAGTAGGAGGAATTGTTGAGTGCTTAGGAAGCTCATTCATTGAGCCCAACCATCCAAAATGAGAGCCAGTATGGTGGAGTGGTTTGAGTGTTGGACTACAATTCTGGAGACCAGGGTTCAAATCCCTGCTGGGACACAGAAAGCCACTGGGTGACTTTGGACAAGTCACACAATCTCATCCTCATCAGAAGGCAACGGCAAACCCCCTCTAAACATCTGGCCAAGAAAACCCTGGGATACGTTTGCCTTAGGGTTGCCATAACTTGGAAACAACTTGAAGCCACACAACAACAACCTCCAATAGCTTGAGCACCATGGGTAGCTTGTTTAATGAGCCCTGGAGTAGCTTCAGCACCCTGGACAGTGCATTAATGGGTTTTACTCCTTCCTCAACAATTTCAGCACCTTGGATAAGCTCTCCTTTAAAGTTTAAGTAACACGCAGAGTTGATAAGCTGCCCCACTGAACTGTGAGTCTCCATCTCCCACTCATTTAATTTGATTCAGATTCCTTTTCCCTCCCAAAGAATGAGATTCAAGAAATACAAATACTTAAATAGGACAAATGTAGTTGAAAGTTAAAATGGATTAATGCATCAGAAGGTTTAAAACACAACTCTCTCGTCATTGGAAAACTCACATTGATTTAAGGCAAGGGTGGGCAACTACAACACATCCAAGGGACAATTATCTGGCCTGAGACCATCCAATGGTTGTATAGAGTACCTAAAATCCCTCCCCAAAAATACTCAAATCAGAGAGTGCCAGAATTCTGCTTCTGATTTTTAAAAATGCATATTATTTTGAGGTTAAATGGTGGGGGTGTTCCTTCTGTGGAAAGAAGGAGGAAAGAGGCAGCCTGGTAGCCCTTGACAAGCAGTTCCAGATCCTGAAAACAGCCACTGAGAAGTCCCTCTGCAAATCTCTGAAGAAGAAATCATTTTAGGGGAGCCAGAATGATGTATTGGGTTGAATGTTGGACAAGGGGTCAAGGAGACCAGGGTTTAAACCTCTGTGCAGCCATGAAACCCATGGGTAGATCTTGGACAAGTCACACTCTCACACAGCCTGAGAACGCAGGTAGATATATATATATGAAGGAGATATCTATATAGATATAGATATTCCTTCCTTGACTTATGGTGACTATTGTAGGATCTATCTATATTGTAGGATAGATATATATGACCTATGGTGACTATGTCCTACAAGAGTCACCATTTAAGTCAGAGTCAGCTTGAAGGCATGTATCACACAACCATTTTTGAAACCAGAAGCAAACTTTTGTTCTCTGGGGCAAAAAAACTTACTCTGGAGTCTGGACCCACTGCAACTGCCTATCTTTGAGCAGAAAACCTTGACCATGAACACTACTAGCAAAAAGTGGAAGCCCTACCTGGTGTTGAATGTACCTGCTGAAGCATCATCTGAATGTGCTCTAAAACAGCATCTCTGGAAGCTGATTCCAGGGATTCTGAGAGCTGAAGTGCAAAACGTTGGAGGACCAGAGCTTTCTTGCAAAGAAATCAAAGCCCTTCACTCAACTACAAAGCCAGGATGGAGCTGTGACAGTTAAAATAGGACCAAACTGATATAACTGTGCCACCGCATGATCAGTGGGACCCTAGCGGCCTCCAAAGGCAGGATGTTGACCAGGTAAGCCTTTGGTCTGCTCCAACATGGCTGAAAGCTCATGCTGCCAACTTTTTTCAGTTAGTTTCAAAGGTGCTACAGGAAAAAAAATTAAGCTATCATAAATTGTAAAATTCTCCTTTTGATTCAGTGAACAGTGAGACTACTATCTATGCAACACAACCACCTACTACCACTTCTCAAGGCACACTGGGAGCAGGCTGAGTGATGACTCTAGACTAGTCACATCCCCTGAAATTTCATCTTGCACCCCAGGTTGGGAACCCCTGCCCTAGACCAAACCAACCAAGCCACATCCAGAGAAAGGTCAGATCCTGCAAAGGTTGTACCCAGTTCACAACACAGCATGGTCCACTCCTGTTAGCCCCCATATCCATGGAGTCAAACCCAGAACCCCATTTGTGAGCCAAAGGCATTGCTCTTCCAAAGAGAGGACCTGCATTTGCCAAAGAAATGCATGGAAGGGTTGAATCCCCTAACACCCACATACACCCCACCACCTGGAAACATACTCCAGAATGGACATTGTCTCCTAGATAGGTGCTACACAATCACCTTGAGCCTCATTGGTCCCATCCTTGATGGTCCCCTCCATATCTTACCTTCTGGTCCTCCCATTTTGTCTATAATTTTCACAGCCACTTTTCGTTGGTGTTTTTTCGAAAAAGCTTCTTTGACCTTTGAGTATGTCCCTTCTCCAATGGTTTTGCCCACCTGGTAACCATGGGAGAGAAGGAACTCCTCCATCGTGTTTTTCACCTGCTCCTCTGTCATTCTCAGGACATCACGTCATCACCACGTCTATACATCGCTCTCCGTTTCCTTCCGGACCAGGGTCTGCATTGAATGCAGCCCAGGACGCTAGATCATTTTTTACCTGCCCAGACAAAAGTCCTGTGATGAGGGGGTGAACCTGAGGTGGGACATCTTGAAACCTGAAGCCTCCATTGTGATGCAACCTTGTGTTACCCATGCACCACTTGAGGTTGTCGCCTTGCACCAATGGGAGGAGGGCAGGCATCTTCCTCACCAGGACAGGTAGGCCTTTGGCCTTCAGGTGCTCATCAGGCCAGGTGATGGGTTAACCTGCCAGGAGGCCCAAAGCTGCCAGGCCTTGCATAAAAGGATTTTAGTAGCCTAGGTAGGGCCTCTTTAGTTGTCAGGGTTGGACATGGAGAGTTAAGTTAGTATGTTGTTGCCCCCCACCATGGAAATCTGCTGGCTTGAAACTGTTTGGCAGGGTTTGGGTCTAGCTACGTCAGGCAAGTCCTAAAAGTAAGTATCCTCTTTTTTTCAATTATCGTTATTTTATTTAAGGAGAGAATTCCTAGGGTTGCCAGACTGAAAACTGGAGATGGCTCCTATACCATGGTAGGTGTATGCCTTCCAGTTGTTTCTGACTTATGGCAATCCTAAGGTGACCCTATCGTGGGGTTTTCTTGGCAAGATTTGCTCATGAGGGGATTTGCCTTTGCCTTCCTCTGAGGCTGAGAGAGTGTGACTCACCCACGGTCCCTCAGCAGGTTTTCATGGCTTAGATTCAAATTCTGGTCTCCGGAGTCGTAGGCCAGCACTCAAACCACTGTGCCACACTGGCTCCTAGCATTGTAAGCACCTTTCTCTAAATTAAAAATCCCAGGAGTGCATAGAGTGGAACCATCTCAGTTAAAGTGGAATCACACCACCATAATTGTGTAGTGTGAAGATGCTCCAGGAGGCCTTTTGGCTCCACTTTCTGCGTCCCAACCCAAAGTGCCACAAAGTGATCCAGATAAGGGCATATGGGACATATCAGTCCAATGTTGTTAGCTGCCAATAACCAAAGATCTCTTGACTATGCCAGCAAAGCATGGTGCTCAATCTGTCATGGCCAGCAAACCACCAAAAGTGCATTTTGGTTTATTCAACCATATATTTAACCTCCATGGGGTTTTCTGGGGCAAGATTTGTTCACAGGGGGTTTGTCCAGCCCCTGTTTTTTGTGTTCCTGTCATGCCAGTTGTGTGGAGTAGGTTTCCTTTTCAAAATAACCAATACAGACATAATTCATGATTGTATTAACTTGTGTGTCCTCCCTCAGCTATCTTTCAGTAAGCTAAAAAGCTAGAAAAATTTATGGAGCTCAATATGAGGAAGATGGTCAATCCTCAGTCATGGATAACCATTTTGTTGTATGATTTAAGAATGAGTTGGCAATTTAGCAGCACTCCAGATGTAGCTGGACTGCATCTCCCAGCAGCCATAGCCAAGGATGAGGATTGCTGGGAGCTGCAGTCCAAAACCAGGAGCTGCCTAATTTCTACCCTTGGTTTCACATAATCATGGATGTTGTTATGTTCCTGGCAGATAAATTGGAAGCCATTTTCATGCATGACAGCAAAATGTTTCACTTGAAGCCAGTGTTCATGATGCTAAGTATCCTAACTCCGAACCTAAAAGTTTAGGATGATTTGGCACCCAGGAACAAACATGCACATTATTTAAATATTTCTTGCTAGAATTCTCCAACTTCTGCATTACAGACTGGAAATTCTGAAAACATAAATTCATTGTAGTCAGGAGATTAACTGCAAAGCAGGGTAAAATTGATTCAGTTTCCCTCCAATAAAAATTCTCTGCCTTAAATCAAAATTTCCTCCAATTCCCAAATTTCTAGCCTTACAGAGTATACGATACTGTAAATTATTCCTACCTAGAACTTTTCTATTTGCTGTGCTTCCATTCCCTAGGTCATTTTGCCTGACCCTTTTATTTGGATGACTCCATTTTATTCCCAAATGCTCAAGTGACATTTGAAGCAATTGCAATGCTAGAAATTTGGGGACTGAAGGGGAAATAAATCACGGGGGTGCAGGATCCTTACTGGGAGGGCAGTGGCCTCATTTTGCCTCACCTGCGCACCTCAGCTATATCCTTGATCATAGCTGCGCTGTTTTCCTTCTTAAGCCAAACCCATTCTTAACTCTTTAAGGCATGCCTAGTGGGCATTCCTTGATTTAACCAAGGGGTGGGCAACCCCAGCAAATCCAGGGGTCAGTTTTCTGCCCTGGACCATAGTCTGTCTGTCTGTCCGTCCATCTGCCACATGAGCTTCCAAAACCAAGCAACCATCCAAACAGAAGTGACTGTAAGGCCACGTCCAGTTTTGAGAAATGGTGCAAGCAACTCCTGTAACTCTATTTAAAATGCAAATGATTCTTCTGGGAGGGAATTGGTCCTTTTTATGTTGTTGTTGTTGTTGTTGAAAAAGGGAAGTCTGGATGGGTCAACATTCATTAAAAGAGCACGGGGGTCTGCGTGTGGCCCCACACCCTCCATATTGCACACCCCAAAGTGCAACAACCCACACACACACCCAGTGTTTAAGTCAGGGGTGGGAGCTGTGTAGCCCTCCCTAGTGTTGTTGGGTTGCAAAGTTCCCTAAGGCGGCAGCATAGCGGATAGTAAGGAAGGGGGTTAGTTGATGTTCATTAGGCTCTAAAGG